CCATCTGGTCCTGGGCTTTTTTTAGTCGGGAGGTTTTGTATTACTGTTTCAATTTCTTTTTGTGTTATGGGTCTGTTTAAACTGTTAATCTCTTCTTGGTTTAGTTTTGTTGGCTCCCATGCCTTTAGATATCCATGCATTTCTTTTAGGGTTTCCAATTTAGTAGCATATAGGTTTTTAAAGTATTCCCTTATAATGTTCTGCATCTCTCTGGTGTCTGTTGTAATGTTTCCTCTTTCATCTCTGATCTTGTTGATTTGGAGGTGTTCTTTCTTTCTTTTGGTTAACTGGGCTAGTGGTCTGTCAATCTTGTTTATCTTTTCAAAGAACCAGCTCTTGGATTTGATTCTTTTATTGTTTTCTTTGTTTTGATTTCATTAATTTCTGCCTTGATTTTTATTATTTCTTCTTGTCTTTTGGGTTTGCATTTCATTTGTTGTTGCTTTTTAAGTGTCTTGAGTTGCAACGTTAATAATTTATTTGTGTTCTTCCTGATTTTTTGATGTAGGCACTTAGAGCTATAAACTTCCCTCTAAGGACCACTTTCAGCGTTTCCCAGAGGTTTTGTTGTTTTGTATTGTCCTTTTCATTTAGTTCCAGGAATCCTTTTATTTCTTTCTTAATTACTCTTTTGACCTGTTCATCATTTAGGAGTGTGTTATTTAATCTCCAGGTGTTCATGTGTTGATTAGGGCTTTTTCCGGTGTTGATTGTAAGCCTTATTGCATTGTGTTCTGATAGAATGCATGGAATTATTTCAATCTTTTTGCATTTGTTGAGGTTTGTTTTGTGCCCCAGTATATGGTCAGTTTTGGAGAAGGTTGCTTGGGGTGCTGAGTAGAAAGTATGTCCTTTGGTGCTTGGGTGGAATAGTCGGTAGATGTCTGTTAAGTCCATTTGATATATGGTATGGTTTAACTCACATGTCTCTCTGTTAACTCTCTGCCCTGTTGACCTATCTAATGGAAACAGTGGGGTATTGAAGTCCCCTACTATTAATGAGTTGGGAACAATCTGGGTCTTAAAGTCCTGTAGAATTGTTGTTATGAAATTAGGTGCACCAGAGTTTGGTGAATATATGTTCATGACTGTAATATCTTCTTGATTTATTGTTCCTTTGATCAGAATGAAGTGGCCCTCTTTATCTCTTCTGATTAGTTTTAAAGTCTATTTTTTCAGATATTAGAATTGCAATGCCTGCTTTTTTCTTAGTACCATTTGCTTGGTATATATATATATTTTTCCATTCTTTCACTTTAAGATAGTGCCTGTCCTTGAAAGTTTGATGAGTTTCTTTCAGACTACAAAAAGATCAATTTTAATCAATTCACCTAGTCTATGTCTTTTGGCTGGGCAGTTCATTATGTTGATATTTACAGTTATTAATGAAAGATGTGTACTGAATCCTGTCATTTTAATTTCTATTCACATTCTTGATACAGCTGTACTTTTCCACAGTTATACCTTCATTGAATTTCTTTCCACAACCCTTTGGGTATAGTCATTCCTTTCTTCAGCTCTTTCTGTTGCTTCCAGAACTCTCTGAAGGGCTGGTTTTGTAGACATGAATTCCTTCAGCCTATTTATGTCGTAGAAGATTTTTCTTTCCCCTTTGCATATAATAGACATTTTGGCTGGGTATAATAACCTGGGTTGGCATCTGTGGTCATTTAAAAATGGGAATACTTTGGTCCAGGCTCTTCTGGCTTTCATAGTTTACACTGAAAAGTTAGCCGTAATCCTAATGGGTTTTCCTATATATGTGACTTATTTCTCTTTTGCAGCTTTCAGTGTTGTCTCTTTGTTTTGTACGTGTAGTGTTTTTACTATGATGTGCTGTGGAGAGTTTCCTTTCTGGTCCTGTCTGTTTGGTGTTCTATATGCTTCTTGCATTTGTATGGGCATGTCTTTCTTTAATTTTGGGAAATTTTCTTCCACGATTCTGTTGAAGATCTGATCCATGCCATTATATTGCGATTCTTCTCCTTCTTGTATGCCTATGATTCATAAGCTTGGTCTTTTTATGGTGTCACACAATTCTTGCATATTTCATTCCTGTGATTTCTTAAATTTTTCATAATTTTGCTTGAGTGGTCTAGTTCGTCCACTTTATCTTCCAGTCTTGATACTCTATTTTCCATTTCATTCATCCTGTTGGTGAGGCTTTCTCCTGTCTTTTCTAATTGGCTTACTGAGTGTTTCACTTCCTTCTTCATTTCGGCCTGAATATTCTTCAATATTTCTAACTCTTTTCTGGATTCATTCAGAAGTTTATCCCTGTCTTCCTTCAGTTCTTTGATTTCTTTGTTTGTGTGTTCTTTAAATTCACTG